GGGATTCATTTCATGGAGCATGTTTCAGGATTGAAAATGGTAATCGTGAATCACTGGTAATGGTTGATAGCAAATCTAGGCATGTTTAATAAGTCATTCGCTGTGAGATGACAAATTCCTTGAGTTATTTCCATCAGCTGCAGGTACACCTGCCAGAGAGGTCGACAAACAATTGCACAACCAGGTGAAGCCTCCTCATGACACCTTTCACTTAAGAGGGAAGCTGCCATTCAATGATTGCAGAATGAGCTTGCTGACTGATTTATACTTTGCTGTATAAGACCAATAAGATTTGGGAACAGAATTAGGCTATTCAGCCCATCGACTCTTCTCTGTCATTTGATCATGGCTGATACGTTTCTCAACCCCATTCTCCTGCTTTCTCCCTCCTCAGTGGTTAGCACTGCTGCCTCACAGCACTAAGGACCTGGGTTCGATCCCACCCTCGGGCGACTGTCTGTGTGAAGTTTGCACATTCTCCCCATGTCTGCATGGGTTTTCCTCCGGGTGCTCCAGTTTCCTCCCACAATCCAAAGATGTGCAGGTTAGGGTGGATTGGCCGTACTAAATTGTCCCATAGTGTCCAGAGATGTGCAGGCTAGGTGGGTTAGTTATGGGAAGTATGGGGTTACAGGGATGGGGGGGGCGGGTGGGTTGGGTGAGATGCTCTTTGGAGCGTCAGTGTGGACTCGATGGGCCAAATGTCCTGCTTCCACACTCTGGGGATTCTATGATTCAATCAAGAACCTATCTATCTCGGTCTTAAATACAATCAATGACTTGACTTCCACAGCCCTGTGAAGCAATGAGTTCCACACATTCAACAACCTTTGGCTGAAGAAACTGCTCTTCATCCCAATTCTAAAGGATCATCCCTTCACTCTGAGGCTGTGCCCTCAGATCCTCATCTCTCCTACTAGTGGAAACATCTTCTCCACATCCACTCCATCTCTCAGCTTTCTGTAAATTTCAATAACATCCTTACTCATGCTTTTAAACTCCACTGAGTAGAGATCCACTGGATTTGAAGGTCAGCATTTCATTATAAACTTAAAATGATCCAGGGTGATCCTGCCAACTGGACAAAGCACAGTCACCAGGGCAGATACAGAGAAAGCTGTTTCTCTTGTGAGTGACACCAGAACTAGGTGTCATCAATATCAGACAGTCACTCATAAATCCAACTTGGAATTCAGGACAAACCTCTTTCCCCAGAGAGTGGGGAGAATGTGGGACTCACTCCCACTGGGAATGTTCAAGGTGAATTGTGCCAATATATTTAACGGGGGAAACTGGATAAACACACGAAGGAGCAAGGAATAGAAAGTGATGAAGGCGGGGTGGAGGGGGGCAGGAGGAGGCTTGTGCGGAGTCTAAACACCAGACAGGAATAGATGGGCCAAATGGCCTGTTCCTGTGCTCGAAATATGAGTAGAATTCTAAGGAATGGAATATTTTTGGATTCAGGACTTTGATATCAGTGCCACTTTCATGGAGCAAACAAATCTCTGCTACAACAACACTTGGCATTTATATAGCACTGTAACATGGAGAAAGATCCCAGCCTGCTGGCAGGGAAGTAAACAGGAATGTTGAATCGAAGTAGACACGTTTGAGGAGGAACAAGTGAAGACTTGGTGAAAGAGATGGTTTCATTGAGAGTCTTTAAGAAGGTGAGGTGGGTAAAGGGCTTGCAGTAGGAATTTCAGTGTTTGAGCTATTGAGGTTGTGTCAGTGATTGTATGGAAGTTGTTGGTTTGGAGGCAAACTTTAGAGGAAGGGGCTGGAAAAGCTTAGGTACATCAATTGATCAAGAAGGCTAATGGAATGTTATCCTTTACTATGAGAGGAATGGAATATAAAAGGAAAGAAGTTATGCTTCAGTTATAGAGGGTGTTGGTAAGGCCACATCTCAAAAACCATGCACAATTTTGGTCTCCTTGTTTAAGGAAGGATGTAATGGTTGGGGATAGTTCAAAGGAAGGTTACTGGATTGATCCCTGGAAGGAGTGGGTTGTTTAATGAGGGAAGGTGGGACAGACTGGTTTTGTTCCCACTGGAGTTTAGAAGAGTGAGGGGGTGATTTGATTGAAGTGTATCAGACCCTGAATGATCTGGGCATGTTAGATGGGGAAGGGATGTTTCCTGTTGTGGGTCAGTCTGGATCCAGGGGGCATGGATTCAAAATTAGGGATCACCCTTTCAGGACAGGGAGAAGAGGAGTTTTTTTTCTCTCAGAGGGTTGAGAGACTTTGGAACTACTTGACTCAGAAAAAATGGTGGAGATGGGTTAATGAATAGTTTTTTTAGGTGGAGTTGGATGGATTCTTGTCAGGCAGGGGCATCAAGGTTAGAGGGTGCAGATGGAGTGAAATTTGAAACACAAATAGATCAGCCATGATCTTAATGAACTATAGAGCAGGCTCGAGGGGCTGAATGGCCTCCTCCTGCTCCTGTTTCATATGGTTGTGGGAAGGTTATCAAATGAGAAAACCACTGGTGGAAGATGAATGGAGACGAGGGATACTGCCTTCAGGAATGGTGAAGATTGCAAGTGTTGAAGGAGGTGAAATGAAGGGTCAGAGGAGGTAATTCCAGTGGGTAGGGTCGAGGCAACAGAAGACGCTGCTGTCAATCATGAGGCAGAGGGAGCATGAATGTACAAAGTTGACCAAAGCTTCAGAGAAGGGAGAAAGCACTTGGAGCTTAAAGTGGCTGTAGGATTTGGGAGGAGTGATGCGCAGAGAGACCTAGACCCACAGAGGGGCGATCACAGTTAGAACTGCTGGCCAATGATAATGGGTGAAACACCTGAGTGTAACAGTGGGAGAATGGGCCAATCAAGAGGAGCCTAAGGACATTCTTTATCTCAGTTGGTCTTGTGACCAATAAAAGAACCAATCTGTTCTTGACAAATAAAGTGGGAATTCTGTAATTCAATGAGATTTGGGTGATACATGTTCATTTGCTTAATGATGCATTTTTATTCTAATTATTCACATTTTCTCCTGTCTAACACTCAGTCTGGTGTTCAATCAGTAAATAATGAACTCACTGCCTTGTTCTAAGTGACATTACATGGCGATTAAGATGAAGAAATATTGTCAAAACACAAACCGAAAACGATGAATATTTTATCAATGTATTTAATGTTGCACAAATCCTGGAATATTAGTGTACTTACAGTGCCAGCTCCACAGATAATTACTGTTTAGTTCAATGAGCAGTAAATTAAAGTCTTGAATTTCATGTTTGAGCCAAAGCATCAAAAGTATTTTAAACAGGGCAGAAGAAATCTGGCTATTTGCTGCTGCAGTCATTCCTAATCTTGATGACTTGATCAATCCCCTGTACACATCCCACACACATATCCCTCAGTGTTACATTCTAACTGAGGTGAGGGATGGATCTAATTAGTCTGCTTCCTTCTAGCTCAAATTTGAAAAGCAAAGCGATACTTCCAATTTCAAACTTCCTGCAAGAGGTGTCATGGTGGCTCAGTGGTCAGCACTACTGTCTCAGTACCAGGGAACCTGGTTATAATCCCAGCTTTGGGTGACTGCCTGTGTGCATCTGCTCTGGTTTCCTCCTGCATTCCAAAGATGTGCATGTTAGGTGGATTATCCATGGGAAATATTGGGATTGGGGAGTGGGTTTGAGGGGTCAGTATGGAATTGATGTGTTGATTGGCCTGCTTCCACAGTGTGGAGACTCTATATTTTAAAACAAAGAAATGC